TTTTCAAAACTACTGTGATTGGTACCCAAATGGTAAATATTGGTTTAACTATTTAAATAATTTGAATTTAATTTTTAAACAGGTGGCAGCCCTCTTCAAACACTTTAAAAATATTCTACACGTTCAAACTAAAGATCTCTTAAGATTCATTTGCTTGACGTCCATGTTTTTTACTTCATAAAAATTAGACTTTTCGAACAGGTGGCAACCCTCTTCAAAATGTTTACAAACTGCTACGTACTTAAACTACATTGTGTGGCATCCACAAATATTTCTATTACCTAATCCCCTTAATTCAAACTGAATTTGATTTTTTAACAGGTGGCAACCCTCATAACGTTAACTTAAGAAACAAAGATTTTCAAAATTATTTCCATTTATGCCCTTTTTATAATAACTGGTTTAGCTTTTTAAATAATTTGAACTAAATTTTTTAAAAGGCGGCAACTCTTTTCGAAAAAGTTAAACCTTATTGCACACCTAAAGTCAGAGCCCTTTTATTTGACACCTCACGTTTGAAAATCGAACGAACGGTGTGAATCTTATGGCATTGATTATTAAATTATTTGAATGCAATTTTTTATCAGGTGGCAACTCTTTTCGAAAAAGTTAAACCTTATTGCACACCTAAAGTCAGAGCCCTTTTATTTGACACCTCACGTTTGAAAATCGAACGAACGGTGTGAATCTTATGGCATTGATTATTAAATTATTTGAATGCAATTTTTTATCAGGTGGCAACTCTTTTCGAAAAAGTTAAACCTTATTGCACACCTAAAGTCAGAGCCCTTTTATTTGACACCTCACGTTTGAAAATCGAACGAACGGTGTGAATCTTATGGCATTGATTATTAAATTATTTGAATGCAATTTTTTATCAGGTGGCAACTCTTTTCGAAAAAGTTAAACCTTATTGCACACCTAAAGTCAGAGCCCTTTTATTTGACACCTCACGTTTGAAAATCGAACGAACGGTGTGAATCTTATGGCATTGATTATTAAATTATTTGAATGCAATTTTTTATCAGGTGGCAACTCTTTTCGAAAAAGTAAAACGTTATTGCACATCTACAGGCCAAGCGCTTTAATTTGACATCTCATTCTTGAAAATTGGGCGAATGGTACAGATCTTTTATGCTGCACAAATAATCCCTTCGCGTATTATATATATAGATAATTTGAATTTAACTTTTTAAACAGCTGGAAACCCTCCTCAAATGCTTTAAAAATATTCCTTATGTTTAAACTAAGATGCTAATACTTTTTTGCTTTATAACTTTTTACACAGGTGGCAACCCTCCTCAAACGCATAAAATATATTCCCAATGTGCAAACTAAGATTTCGTAACACTTTTTAGTTTTATATCGATAATTTAATTAAATTAGACTTTACGAATAGGTGGCAACCCTATTAAAAATATGTTCAATCTAAAATCTTCTTAAATCTCTTTCGTCTGACACCCATATTGTTATACCTGTTTTAATTACCGCATTGCCTTAATTCAAATTGAATTTAATTGTTTAAACAGGTGGCAACCCTCCTACACGCAGTTAGGAAATAAAGTATTTTCAAAACTACTGCGATTGGTACCCAATTAGTAAAAATTGATTTAACTATTTAAATAATTTGAACTTAATTTTTAAACAGGTGGCAGCCCTCTTCAAACACTTTAAAAATATTCTACACGTTNCTTTTAAAATAACTTGAACTTAATTTTTTAAAAGGTGGCAACTCTTTTCGAAAAAGTTAAACCTTATTACACACCTACAGCGAGAGCCATTTGATTTGGCACCTCACTTTTGAAAATCGAACAAACGGTGTGGATCTGATGACATTGATTATTAAATTATTTGAATGCAATTTTTTATCAGGTGGCAACTCCTTTCGAAAAAATAAAACCAGTTTACACATCTACAGGCCAAGCGCTTTCATTTTGCACCCCATTTTTGAAAATCGAACGAACGGTGCAGATCTTTTATGCGGAACAAAACATGCCTTCGCGTATAATTTTGAACTTAATTTCTTAACAGGTGGCAACTTTTTTCGAAAAAGTAAAATCTTTTTGAGCTGAGGGCATTGATTAGTAAATAACTTGAGTTTAATTATTTAGCAGGTGGCAACTCTTTTCGAAAAAATAAAACCTTATTGCACATCTACAGGCCAAGCGCTTTAATTTGACACCCCAATTTTGAAAATCGATCGAACGGTGCAGATGTTTTAGGCTGCACAAAAAATGCCTTCGCGTATTATATATAATAGATAGATAGATAAGCAACTGTATTCGTCTCATTCTGTGCGCTGCACACATGTGTTTTTTCAAGAAGTTTCCCTTCTATCACTAGTACGGTGCTGCACTCGCCTTTTTTCCTCATGACCCAAAACGCAGACTGTTACATTACATTTTAGCTCACATTGATACCGCTTCCAATGTTGCTTGTAAAATCTTTAACTAAATAGGAAAACAAGGTCATCTAAAAATTAGATTAGTTCAAAAGACTGTTACGTTACAAATAGCTTTCCACCGAAAACATATTGGTTATGAAGAGTATATGGAACTATTTTATTTTACTGTGAAATAAGGCCGAAAATGCTGGAAGAAAACTATATTTTCCCTTTTTTTAGTTTGGTGGATTCCGCGGCAAAAAAACCTTTTAATATTTTGGACTGTTACATTACATTAAAAAATACTACCGACTTGATTTATAGAAAGCTAATCGCAGATTTTTTTGTCGAATACTTTTTTTATTGACTTCAAAATAATACAAGGCAGGCGAAGAGAGGCAAGTATAATGCAAAAAAGTGGTGGACCTTAAATATAAACTACCATTTAGTTTCATGTTGTGCTTTTTTAATTTTCGTCTATTTAAAGGTGTCTCAAGATTAAGTGAATTTTCATGTTTGAGAGAAGGAGATTCGTGTTAATATTGTTGTTGTCCGATACCTTAGAGTATGTATGACCCAGATATAATCCCAAATCTGCGAAACCTGAGTAAAAAAATTTGTCCCGTTGGTTTCGTTTTCGGCGATTTGCGGTTGGTTTCGCTTCATGCATTTTTGCTTAGTGGCAATTTATACATAAGGAGTATTCACGATCCGGTGCATACTGTCTAGCATGGTGCATAGATAGCTAATTTTGTTGTTGTTTGAACACATGAAACAACAACAATCATGCTATTTATGCTATCTATGCACCATGCTAGACAGTATGCACCAGATCGTGAATACCCCTATAATTACTAGCGGCACATGAAGTGAACTAAACGCATTCATGCATATGTATGTACAAATATAGGTAAGAATGTATGCGTCTTCCCAGTTAGGTTAAAGGCGGGTATAGTTGCATACTGTGTACATACTTACGATTAAAATAAGAAAAAAATTTCACAATTTCGGCACGTGATGCAAAAAATCTCTAAAATACACACAGTCTAGAGAGTGTCATTGAATTCCGAGGTGTTTTTTATCGCTCCGCAAACTTTCGAGTTTTACTAGGTCCAATCAATATCAAAAAATTGTTACGAATTGTTACTAGTGCTTGCAAGTTTTTACTGGAAATACATTCAATAACCCAAAATATTTGCAAGAGAGTGCGAATTCGAGAGCGTAACAACTCGAGAGAGCTGCAAATTCTTGCAAATAAAAATTTTACCAGCAGGAATTTGCAGGAGTCAAAAAGTAAGGCATTAAAAAATATTAAAATATCGTTTTAATCATGCCTTGTCTATGCGGACAAAAACCGAAAGTGCAGTGTGATAAATGCAAAGAAATTTTCCATATCAGTTGTGTTGGTATTAATCCGACTGCCCTCGATTTTTTGCTCTCGACTGATAAACCTTTTTTTGCAAAGTCTGCATCGAAAAGCGTGGTGCTTCTATACGCTCGCCTCCCGCTTCCACTGCTTTGGATGAGAATATTATTGCCATATCTGCTTCGAATGCTATTTAATCCTGCAGTTCCGCAACCGCAGCCTAACTCTCAGAAAAGCCAAACATCTACGACTCAAGCTGAAAATGCATATAAGCAACAATTAACACTACAATCGTTGTTTAGCGAAATGTGTGCTCTTAGAGCTGAGAATGCGCGAGTGAATTATCTTGTTAATGCCTTGCACGAAGATAAGGCACAACAAATCAAAAAAATTGAGGAACTACATGCCGAAGTACGTTCAATGCAGTCTACCGTAAGTGAAACAGTTTTTAATTTTTAGTCTGTTCCAATAGCAGTCCGGTTTACAGGATTTAGTCAGAACTTACAGGAAGTCGTTCCTATTGACATAAAACCTGTAAGTGGGAACACATTTGAGAGAGTAACTGAGCAACTGTTCCTAGTCAGAAGTTACAGGATTTAGTCCGGAGGTTTTTTTCCTGTAAGTTCATGAAAAGTGTCAAACGATCAGCTGATTTACATGTGCAATCAAAAACAGAAAGCGGTGAAAGCAAAGAACCTTATATTTGATAAAAAATGGAAGTAAACAACGAAATATTTGAATATGTATAGATTTTAATAATTATTTAGTGATATTTCAGCCAAATCAGTGTAGTACCAATGACATGTAAACAAACCGTCTGACGTTTTTACAGGAAATAGTGCTTTTTGCGTTCCTATGCACTTCTGCATCTGTTCTCCTTTTACTCTCATTTGAGAGCGTAAAATTGTAGTTTGACAGTTCCACAGGTTTTAGTCCGAAGTTCAAAGGAACAGACTAATTGTACAACTGAATGCCGAAATTAAAAATCTTTGCAGCGCTGTCAACAGTTATGTATACTAAGCTCAACATAATCAACGCTAGTGGTAGAGGTCTGAAACTATCGATGGCACTATCGATACTATCGATGGTTTTCGACTATCGGGATGCCATCGATAGTTTTCCTTACTATCGATAGTTTTAAATTTGTTTTCTTCACTATCATACTTTGTCTATTCGCTTTCATGCTCTAATTCGCTACTGATTGTCTGCACTTTTATATATGTCAAATTCAATAGACGCTATGAAATTGACTGCGCCATTTGTGTTTGCTGCAAAAAAAAGAGTAAATATGAACAAATATCTGATTGAAAAGGGAAGAAATGGTAATTATGATTATAAACTAGAAATGTTAATTACAATCCACTCAAATTTGTTTTATCATTTTTCAGAGGCAGAAGTCCAAGTTTCTGTTGAAAATAGTGCAACCGATTCCGATGAATGCGTTGCAGTCACACACTCTAGCAACGGCGGCACTAAACGCAAAAAAGGCTTTTCTAAAGTATAAACATTATATATTACTTAATGTAATAACTATTTCCTTATTATTTATTATGCTTTCAGGTATGGAAATACTTTGTTAGATCGCAGGATAAAAAATTAGCGAAATGCGTTAAATGTGGAAAGGTGTATAAAACCAGTGGGAACACAAGCAACCTGCGTGACCACTTAACTAGGTTTCATCCTAACTGCGAGGAAAACGAAGAGAATTCAGATGTTAACTTCTATACCAGTTCAAGCAGTCGCCAGTCCAGCATAAGAGCAGTTGCGTCTTATTTTAGTCGAGCTATTGAATATGAAAATGATTCAAAAAGAAAAAAGGATATCGACTACGCATTGACCAGATTAATAACATTGTGCATGACGAAGACTTCAGAAGCTTCGTTCGGGTTTCAGATCCACGCTATGTGTTGCCAAGCTCGAAAACATTGCGTGATATATTATTAAAAAAACAGTACGACCTTTCTAAGGAAAAATTGAAAGTTACCTTGGCTGATATTGAACATGTCAGCATCACTTGCGACGCTTGGACATCTGTAGCGAATGAGTGTTATCTAACCCTTACATGCCACTTTCTTGTGGATTTTGAGATCAAGTCATCCGTGTTGTCAACCAAAAAACTCGATGATTCCACCAATCATAAAGCCACAAATATAGCGAATTCCATACAAAGCGTATTGGATGATTGGGAGATTTTTCAAAAAGTTCGTTGCATTGTTACAGACAATGCCAATTCGATGATCAATGCGTGTGCTCTACTAAAAAAAAACACATCTTGGTTGCTATGCACATACATTAAATTTAGTAGTGCAAGACGGTTTGTCACAAAGCAATGAACTATCCGACTTACGAAAAAAGTGCAGACACATTGTATCCTTTTTCAAGTTCAGTACGATAGCATATGAAAAATTTAAAATCGAGCAGAAAATAAATTGCCCTTATAGCTTATTGCAAGAAGTTCCAACTAGATGGAATAGCACCGACTTTATGTTTAAGAGAATCATAGAAACAAATGATGCAATATCGCAAGTTCTATTGTCAACAGTGAAGGCTCCAGTACCACTGTCCGCCTATGAAATCAATGTTTTACGTGAGGTGGTCGATTTGCTAAAACTTTTTCAAGACGCAACTGAACCGGTGTGTTTATTTATAAATGAGCGCTTATTTTTAATTAGTTGCAATATATATTCATACCCCTAATTATAAGTGTTTTCGCAAACATTTGCATCACACTGTAAGAATAATTTTAAATATGCGCTGGCAATACTTGTAAAATGTTTACTTTTTTGTGGAAAAGTTAAAATAAGTTTGATATTATACTTATTAAATACTTATAAAAACTAATTTAATGCAAGTTTTTTTTAAAGCCACAGAAATTCATGTTGGGTATTGTTAAACCACGTCTTGTAATTTTTACAGATTTCCGGAGTTAATTACGTTACTATATCTCTAATAATCCTAATGTCCTTTGGAATATTCGAAAAACTTAATACAATGCAAGGGAGTTTAACAACATCAGAGGCTAGCGCACTTTGCTCGATTTTGCTAGCCTCCGTTCGCAAACGTTTAGCGCCTTATGAGTTGCGAACATTAACAAGAATGGGAACGATATTAGACCCTCGTTTCAAGAAAGAGGGTTTCCAGTCAACCACAAATGCCAATGAAGCTAGCAAAAATCTTGAGAAAGAAATTGCAGCGTTAATTGCAACGGATCAGAGAAACGAAAATTTTACTGAATTACAAAAAAACCGGCAGGACGAATCTTCGTTTTTTGATTTTGTGGAGAAGAGACTGGAAGGAAAAAGAGTATCGAGTCGGGCAGATGCAATTATTACACTACGACAATATTTTGAACAACGAAATGTATCAAAGGATACTGATCCACTTCTTGCTTGGAAGGTAAGCATATCTCATGCAGCAATTCAATTTCGCATTTTGTACTAGTTTTTTTTTTCACAGGTTTCAACTGATGTCCTAAATCCAGTGAAGAACGTCCTACCAAAATATTTTTGCACCCCAGCAACGTCAGTAGACTCAGAAAGAATATTTAGCAAAGCTGGCCTAATAATAACAGATCGTAGATCTATACTAAAGCCAAAGCATGTGGATATGATAATATTTTTAAATAAAAATGATTGGTTACTTGCATAATTTCAAGTTATATATTTCTGTTTTTATTTCTTTCCACTATCGAAAACTATCGATAGTTTATCGATAGTATGACAAAAACTATCGGTCACTATCGATGGTGCTCACTATCGATAGTTTCCGACCTCTAGATAGTGGTGTAAACAAACCTGTCACTAATGCATTGCGTACCAAAACTGATTCTAATGCTGCTTCTGTTATTTATACTAACACTTCTACTACTACGACCAATGCTTCTCCTACTGTTACTGCCAATGTTAGTTGTGCAAACACCAACACTATCATGTCCACTGCTGCTATTTCTGGAAATACCAACGTCCTCATGTCGGCTAGTACCTACGCTGCTGCTGCCTCTCGCGCTGTTAACAAACCTCCAGCTACGCCTGGTACAATAGTTCCTATTGCTCAGAGCGAGAGAGTAACATTGAAAAGTACGGGTTCGCTTTCTAGTAAAAATGGTAACTTCTGTCAACTTCAACATAACCTCCAAATTTTGGTTGTAAATTTTTGCTTATTTTGTATGTAAACACACTCAGCTCACACATGTAAATAACGAAAAATACTTTCAAATTCATTAGAACAAGTAATTAAATACTTTTCAACATGAATTAGCAGAGTGCACTTTTCTTTTGTTTACAATTTGGTTGCCAAACACACTACAGCTGATCGTTTGACACATTTACCAGAATTTACCAGCAAAAAATTCTCGGACTAAAACTGGTAACTTCTAACAGAGAGAGAACCGTATTTACTCTCTTTTTTGTCCTCTCAATAGTCAGAGGATCGCAACTAATGCCAATGTTAATGCGAACGCACTCTCACCGGCAAACACCTTCGATGCTGCATCCAATGAGGGGAGAAATACACAAAACGGGAAAGTGAAAATAACACGCGCTACCGTTTGTGTTGGTAAGAATGATAACTCTGAGGTCGACGTAGTCGCCAAGAAAAGATGGATCCACCTCTCTTCGTTTTAAAACACCGTTAAAGAAGATGATATTATCTCTTACGTTACAAAGCACACTGGAAGCAGTAGAACTCACTTGTCGTGCTTTACGCTAGTGAAGAAAGATGCAAATATAAATGAATTAAAACTATGTTCACATATCAATATTATCTCAATCAAAGCTCGTTTTTTAATCGCCCCGTTTACACAGGCAAATCTCAGATTATTAGCAGTCAAATTTGTTGTGCTTGTTATTCTCACATCTCAAGGAAAAGTTATGTTTCTTCTCTGTGCCACCGTGATCACGTTTTTCTGCTATAATAAGCAATATAAATATATTTTAACTTAACATTTTATTAGAAATACCTTTACAAACCTCTTTTACTTGCTAGCGTACATTTTTGTTTACTTTTACATTTGGCATTTCTCCTCTCTTTCGCAAAACAATCGATAAAACTAGGATGGACACCGAAAAGTTATCGGTTAAATCTGAGATTATTTTATAATTACAGATTAACAAGGGACGAATTTTATATGGCTAATCTCTTGTTATAATTACAGATTAGGGTGTTAAGCTCGAAAATGAGGATAATCTACTTATATGTGAACCTAGTATAAGAAGCATAAACTTCAAACTTGGCGTCTCTCCTTGTTTTTATAATGATGTGTTGAACGCAAAGTTATAGACAACAAATATCAATGTTCGACCATTCCAGTTTTTTCAAAAAGAAGGGGAGAAAGACATAGCAGGCTTAGAGATAGCCCACTCTCTATTACTTCTTCTAGCTCAAAGTCATTTTCATTATACTACCAAAATTCAGGTTGTATCCGAACGAAATCCAACGAGATTAGGATTGCGACATCACTACGAGACTAGTTGTGTTTTCGTATTCTCCAGCAAAAAAATATCCAGTAACTTGCCAGTAACCAAATTTCGGAGAGTAAGCCAATATTAGCCCTGTTCGCGTACGCACTATCCAGTAAATCCAGTACTAATTTTAATGGTTTTTTACTGGATGTCGTTTTCGTACGCAAAAACTTGCAGGAAACTAGCAAAAGAGGGGAAATTGAGAAAGCAAAAATGACAACTAAACTTGCAAGTTTTACTGGATTTTTACTGGACAAATTTTTACCAGCAACTATTTTCTAGTAAAAAAAACAGCAGATGGCATGATGCTTAATGTAATTCACATTAACAAAATAATTGTTTGTGGTGCTTTTCTCTAAAAGCAACTCTCTCTTGCAACTCTTTGCAATTGACAAAATAAACCTTTTAAATATATAATAAGATGGAAAATACTAGTTTTCTAAGAACATTGCATCGGAAAATAACAAATTAATCAGCTCTTCATAAAACTAGCAGCTTCTTGCTGGTTTTGCGTTTTCGTACTTTCTGCATATTTCACTCATTCATCCAACTCCAACATTGAAGTCAATGCTACATCGGGTATTCCTCAAGGAACTCACATAGGCCCTTTATTATTTTTACTTTTTATTAACGATCTACCGTCGCATATCATATCGTCGAAATGCTTAATGTTTGCAGACGATGTTAAAATATTCCTCAATATCAACTGCCTGCTGGATTGTAAAAAACTTTAGTATGATTTAAAAGCATTTTTGAATTGGTGTACCATCAATAATCTAAGTCTCAACATCAGTAAGTGTTGCATTGTCTCATATACCCGTCGCGCATCTGTCAGGATTTTCAGCTATTCCCTAAATGGTGTTGATTTATTGCGTAAATCCGAAATTAAGGATTTGGGAATTATTTTTGACACGAAACTTACTTTTTAAAAACACATTGATTTAGTCTCGTCTAAAGCCTACACGATGGTGGGATTCATAATGAGGAACACTAAAAATTTTAAGGACCCTATGACTCTTAAAGCACTTTATATCGCTCTGGTTCGGAATATTTAGAATATGGGGCGCTAATATGGAACCCATACTATGCAAAGCACTCTGACAGAATAAAGAAAATTCAAAGGAAATTTACCAGATTGGCTGTGAAAAAATTTTTCAACGGCCACGATATTCCAGAATACACCTCGAGGAGGAAACTCCTTGGCCTCCAATCTTTAGCTGACAGGAGGTCGTATTTGTCGCTGATATTTGCACACAATATTCTATCTGGAAGCGTTGTCTGCTCAGAGATATCTAATCTTTTTCAAATTCAGGAATCTAATATTAATCTCAGAAATCCTAAAATGTTCGTTGAAGGTTCGCATAAGTCGCTATACTCGTACAACGAACCGATAGCGAGAATTATTCGCCATTGTAACAAACACTCTGCGCTAATAAATTTCAACGATAGCCTTTATTGATTTAAATTAAGTTTATTGAAACTGTTTAACTACTCTAAATTTAATCAATGTCTGTAAGAAATTCTGTTTCAAAGACTGAAATGAATAAATAAATAAATAAATTTGGGGTTTCCAAGATATGTACGAAGTGAAAAGAAACCAGAAAAAATAAAAAAAGGTTTCTACAAGAATCAGAAAGCGACATACATAGCCTACAAATTATGTATTGCGTGCAGGGAAGTCAGCTTGAGGGAAACTCCCCGGATTTGCAGGGAATTTCGGTTTAGGTGACAATCGGGGATTGGACAGTTTTTTGCGGATAATTGGGTATATGTTATGTTGATAACTTAAAGAAATCAAATAGACGAATATGTTAAATTTTAACCATTTGACGCTATTTGGAGCGACTTTTTTCCATTTGAATCGAAATATCTCCACAACAGGAGTTTTCCCAGACACAAGTTATATAGCAAATGAAAGCTAGGGTTTTGGGCTAGGCTTCAGGAAACGTAGAATAAAATCGAAATCTGTATTTTCAGCAGACCAATTTTTAGTTTTCAGGCGATAACGTTATGACATATTTATATTTCATAAACGCAAATGACAGCGTTAGATAGCTTGTTTTAATGCCCTTCTACTAATATCCACATCAATGGTATGGAATGAGTAGTGCGGCCTCAGCGATAGTTTAAAAAATTGCCTTTTTTCGAATTTCAGACACCAGCCACGCTCACAACGGCACACGAATCGAAATATCCTGGAACAAAACCTTCTTAGTTTTTATGTACTTTAATTCCTGAAAGTTTGAAAAAAATTAAATGACGGTACGTACAGACGCTACACAAATCGCAAAGCATCTCGTAGTGGAGACACGAACCAAAACCAATTTAGCTCTATATCTTTCCAACTAGTAGCCGGAACTCAATATATAAGGTATCGTTGGAAAGGTATTGACCTATAGAATAACACTAAATATGTCGGGTGTACTTACTTATCCCGTTAAACCGGCAAAAGCAAAAACAACTTTTTTTTGTTTCGCAACACTTTAGGGTAATTTTTAAGAATCCGGTTATTCGTTTATGAAGCTGTAATATATTTTCTGGACACACTCTGCAAGACCTTTCCAACGATACCTCAAACATGTCGATTAGACGTCGAATTAGTTAGACGAATAAATAAAAAAGATTTTTCGTACGTTTCCAAGGCAGCTAAAAAATGCGTATAATTTTCGTCACGAAATTGATATCATAAATTTTGTACTTCTAGTTCAGCTTTCGTTACTCGAAAATTTTACCTCAAAGAGATGTTTTATTTGATACTAAATACTCGTACAAGAGGCGAACTTGAACACATGATTTTTGAGTTTTTGGATTTTTTATGTCCTTAAAGCAATATTAACTGCTCAATAAATTATATTTAACAAATGGTCATCCAAATATAAAAGAACAATTCATATAATTTAACTTTTAATTTATTTATTTTTATCACAGCGCACGGCAGTGTGCGCGAGGGACGAAAGCAGCCACAGAGTATGCTGAAACGACTCGCTTATATAAGCACGAGATTTGGAAGTTTTTATCCAGACGTCTAATCGACATGTTTGAGGTATCGTAGGAGTATTTAGTATCAAATAAAACATGTCTTTGAGGTAAAATTTTCGAGTAACGAAAGCTGAACTAGAAATACAAAATTTATGATATCAATTTCGTGACGAAAATTATACGAATTTTTTAGCTGCCTTGGAAACGTATGAAAAATCTTTTTTATTGATACGAATCGTTGCAAAACTTCTGTTTTTTATTTTGTGTTTCTAGCAGTAGACGCAATTTTGCAACGTTCCGAATAAATAAAAAAGATTTTTCATACGTTTCCAAGGCAGCTAAAAAATTCGTATAATTTTCGTCACGAAATTAATATCATAAATTTTGTGTTTCTAGTTCAGCTTTCGTCACTAAAAAATTTTACCACAAAGGTGTTTTATCAATTATTTTGGGTTAGCAAATTTAAAATCGACGACAATACAAACAATAATATAAATGTCTTATTTTTTCTAAAATAAAGTGCTAAAAATGGTATCCAAATCTAAATGATGTATTTAAATCGATGTGTCCATTGAAACATATAATTTTTCGAATAGGGAATAAAGCAAAAAAGAATGATCATATCTTTGTATTATTATATTAAATAAAGAATAAAAAAAAATTATGAGAAATGATAAAAACTTTTCAACTTGCTACCAACTTTGGATACAATAAACAACTGTATTCGTCTGATTGTCTCGTGGTTTATTTTTGTTAAGATTTCTAGCGGTTGTGGGGCGCACACATGTGCTTTTTTTAAGAAGTTTTACTTCTACCACGTGTACGGTGTTGCACTCGTGCTATTAAACTAATGCTTTTTTCTCAAGTAGTTTTGGTCAGTGGCAATATATACATACATACATATGTATGTAAGTAGTAGCGGCACATTGAGTGAGCTAAATGCATTCATACATACATAATTATGTACAAATGTAGGTACTATTGTATGCGTCTTCCCAGGTAGGTTAAGTGCGGGTGATAAACCCACGTAGCATAGTTAAATACTATGTACATACCCACAATTAAAATGGGGAAAATGTTACAATTTCGGTATATGACAGAAACAAACTCTAAAGT